ACTAGAGACTGATGATGACCCATCACCATTTTTGATCCATTCCTTGTTACTGTCAGGTCTCTCTTTCTTAATCTCACTCCCAATCCATTCCATTACGTAATCCTTCACACTCCCTGATTCAATCCCTCCTCTGTTTCCACCATTGTTGTCCTGTTTCCACCACCAATCTCTCTTCGAACCAACTTTTTGCTTACTACTCTCCACACTCATTGTTTCCAAACCCACCTCCGGCGATAATCGCGATACTATCGATGATTCCGGTCCAGGAGATGCTTCTACTTCCGTCAAGACACTAACTGCACAATTCTCCGGTGATGCTTCCGTCTCCGTCAAGACGCTAATTCCACAATTTTCCGGCGAGAGATTCAGAACATTACCTTCTTCAAACACAGTAATCACACTCTCAGTCTCCTCAAGAATCGACCCGTTATCTTCAACAACATCATTTCTCTTATCTTCTTCCTCAATCATAATCCTAGATTCATTACCATTAACTAAATCTTCAGACTTTACCCTAGCGAGACCGAAATCTCCGATTTTGGCTTTGAAATCAGAATCGAGAAGGATATTACTAGGCTTAATATCACCATGAATGATTAAAGGATCACAACAATGATGAAGAAACTCGATCCCTTTTGCAATATCAGTCGCAATCTCAAATCTCTTGTTCCAATCCATAAGCTCTTCACATTTCCGATCCAAAAGCGCGTCTTGTAAACTCCGATTAGCCATAAGCTCATAGACGAGTACAAGACTCCGGCCACGACGATCGGAGGAGAATCCGAGGAGAGAGACGATATAAGGCGAGCCCATCAAGTGAGAGGAGAGAGAAAGCTCGTTATGAAACTCACGCTCGCCTTGTAAAGACCCAGAAGAGGAATCCATAACTTTGACGGCGAGTGAGTCGCCACTCGGGAAATCAGCTTTGTAAACCGACCCAAATCCGCCATGGCCGAGCTGAGTCGACTCGGCGAACGAGTTCGTTGCGCGACGGAGCTGAGTGTAAGAGAATCGTCGACATTGGTAGTGTTGAGGAGATTTTGAGATAAGATCTGAAGGAGCGGTACGGTTCCGGTATAGTCTCCGGTATAGAAGTATAGTGAAGAGGATGAGTAGAACTCCGGTTAAAGTCAGTGAACCGGCGATGATAAGCGGGAGTGTCTGAAAACGGTGGTGAATTGTCGTCGTCGGAAGCGGCGGAATATCAGGCGGAGAAGGGCGAGATGGCATTTTTCGTAAATATAGAAGTAAAGGATTAATCCGGAGTTTCCATAGAAGAAGATGATAAGTTTCCCCAACTGACAAAATTAAATATCTAAGGAAATTAATTTTTTTTCAGTAAAGTAAATTAGTTTATAATAAAAAAAATTATTACTAGTGAGGATAATGGAGAGAGATGCTTGTGTGACAGGAGGGTGGTATTGGTTATGGTGACGTGTCGGAGAATAAATGGGAGATTGTGACTGTATAATGTGACAGTCATGTGACCGGAAATTAATTGGTTTTTGTCGTCTAGTAAAGAAGACCGGTGGGATTTTAAAAATAAGGGAGCGTGGTACACACGTGGCGCGTGAGAGTGAGATTCACGAGGGATTTCGGGTTTTTTAGTTCGGAAACCTTCGAAAGAATGGGTCCCACGTGGGGGACCCAGGAGATTTAATTGGGAAGTGATGGTGAAGTCAACTTCACTCGCCTTCAAGAAGCGCGTGGAAACACAATATTTTTAATTTATTAAAATAGTTGATTCATTAGATTTTGATTAGTTTGTTATATTATATCAAGGAAAATTAGGCAGGATAACCATAAAGAAATTTATAAATTAGGTGACTAACCATAACAAGGACGTGGCTTCGATTGGGAGAGGAGAGTGAACTGGTGAATTAGGGCTTCCACATTTTTGGTGAAAGTAGAGGAAGAAGATGACGATAAGATGAGAGAATCGAACGATTCTTTGTGTTGGAGAATTTTCAACAAGTGCATCGTTGCTTCAAATGTACTATGTTATTCTATTCAACTTGGTTAGCATACTTGTTCTTTTCCTGTTTTGAGGAAAATTATACTAGCATTTGTGCATCGTTTTGGGACAGAGTCTTTGAAACTTGCTTAGATGCTTACTTTAGTAGTGATGCCCATAATCAGGTAAGACTGGTGTTTGTGAATTCTTGACGAAGAAAACTCTTGAGAATTCAATAGTTTGAGACAGTGTTTGCCAAATTTGTAGTTAAAGGAACATGCAGTTGCAGAAACTATCGTTTATGGTCACTGACTTTATAAGCGTTGGTGATGTATGTTGAGTAGGCTGAGATTGGGACCGTCTATTCTACTTGAAATTGACTTTCTATTAAACATAGGCTTGTTTAAAGAATCTAGTAGATGCCACCAACAGAGACATACATAGTTACTTGTACAAGTAAAATCGTGTAATGATACTTGTGTTGTGAATGAGATAACAAAAGAAAATTCTTTTGTCTTTTTTCTTTTTTTACCGGTCTTCCAATTATTCTCATGATCGCAAAATTGGTGCTTCGTCCTATTCTTGGATCAAATCTATGGCTATATTCTATGCAAAACTGTGTGCTCTGCGACACACAAAACGAATATATAATAACTAAGTAGAAAAATAAGTGATTCTAAATAGAATAGTCAGACGGGCGGATATTCTATATAAACTTACTACATATTAAAACAATAAAATACACTAACTCTGTCAAAATAAAAAAAATACAACCATTTTTGGGTTTAAATGTTTTATTAAAGTTTAGCATTGGGTTTAGAATTTAGTATATTGAATTTAGAGCTTAATTATGGATTACTACATAGAGTTTATGGTTAATATATTGAACAAGATAGTATTCGCATATGTTTTATTATATATGTTTTCTATTCTATTTTTATATGTATGTATACCGTAGATGTTTTAAACATCAAACATCATTTACTATTTTTAGAAATATGTATCCATTTTGAATATCAAACCATATACAATGCGGAAACAAATATGTGATTTTTTATTGTTGGAAAAATTAGTTAATTATAAATATGAGATTAAAATCAAATACAATATCACTTGAGGTAGATATTTGTCAAAACAAAGACAAATATTATTAAAACATATTCTCCTAGCCCAATTTGCATTCACCTAGAAAGTCAAGGTAGACCAACATCCAACCACATCACCCACGAAAGAAAAAATCTAAGGGTATAATGGTCCACTTTTATTTTCTTATGTTACTTACTTAATTAATAGATTAGCATGGCTATATTCTTCTTTTTATATCCAATATAGTCACTATACTAATTGACCCTTATATCAATCTAATAATTTATTTGGTTGGTTTA